TCTTGCATCCTCTGTAGCTTATCTCAGCCAAGAAAAACAAATCTTCTATTCACCAATTCTCACTGTATTCCTGGGGGAGGTAGGTACTCTAAAAACGACCATTTTACATTCAAAATGAGAAAAGATCAGAAACAAGGATTCATGTCACATACATAATTAGTAAGCTAGCAAAGTAAGAAACAATCTCTTTTAGGAGAAAGAAGTGATTACCCCCCATGTGGATGGGCTATCATGAAGCAGGGGCTGGGGGAAGGAGGGATGAATGCATGAAAACCTCAGAGAGGTAGGATAAAATCCAAAACCAGAGGTAAAAACTTAAATTATAGTCAAATGTTAGGACCCTAAACTAACTGGCAGAATAGGAAGCTGAACAAAAAGCTCTTTCTACTTGCTGGGGTCCTAAGAGTCTAAAATGAGGGATTCAAATGGCTTTACTTCAACACAACACAGTTTGTCATCTAATCTCTCTTGGCGACACAGATAAGAATAAGCGACTTATGGCCACACTCTTATGCAGCAACACACCCCTGAATAGTGCACCTTGTTCACTTCAGGATGGAAATCACTGATTGCCTATCTATTAAGAAAAAAATTTAAGTAACCTTTGTTTTAAAATGTGAACATTTCATTGTATTTAAAGTATTTGTATGTTTTTATATTTGCAGTGTTTCTAAGGCAGACTGACTACGAGGGGGAGATGAGGCCAAGAAGGATGGGATACCGAGGAAGCAGAGAGAAGACTCTGATCCTACGAACACTAGGAGCATTCAGAGAGGCCTGCCATGACACTCTCCTCTCACCCCTACTCAGCTGAAGCACAACAGATGCACTGGGACACTGCAACTAAAGGGGCAAAGAGAAGCAGCCCCTTCATAAAAACTGCTCACTCCAGCAATGTGAATTCCTCACATCAAAATCCAGTTTCTAGGCTTCTATTGGCACTGTAGGCTAAGCACTGGCCTGCTAACCACAAGGTCGGCAGTTCAAACCCACCAGCTACTCCCTAAAAGAAAGATGAAGCTTTCTGATCCTGCAAAGATTTATAGTCTCAGAAGCCCTTTATAGGATCTCTATGAGTGGGAACAGACTCAATGGCACTAAACAACAAAAACAACGATCCTAAAGATACCGAAGATGAAGAATAAGTCAAGGATATTCATCACAACATGACTGATAACAGCAAAGGATCTAAAAACAACTAAAATCTTCGACAATGGAAGGGTGGATAACTAAGTAAGGTAGAGCCACGAGAAATCTACTTTCAAAGATGTAAGGCACAGGAAACAATTATCAGATCATGTTAGATAGAAGAAAAAATGGGGATATAAAGCTGTGTGTATGTATGTTCCTCAATTTTATTTAAATATCACATGTACTGTATCTATTTTTAAATACTGAAAGGAAATTAAAAAACCATCAGCAAGGTTAGCTCTGCTCTAGATGAAGGGAAGAGATGACTTTCATTCTTTCTTTAGACTCACTAGAAAATGAGAATACATAACTTTTATAAAAACAATAAATATTTATTTTTAAATATATCTAACCCCAAATGTCTCCATTTGAGATGGCAACTGTCAGCCTTAGGAAAATACTGCCAAAGTTCAAGGCAGACTCAGAGCATCAAGAGATTCAGATCATATAGTAATCTCTTTTCAAAAGGATGAGAACAGTGTAGCTTTTCCTTTACTTTGGCTCTGGATCTACTTTCCTGGGCTTTGCAGGACACCCTATCAGAGGACTATGAGGAACCCATTCTCTCTTCCCAGCAACTGCTGTGCTGTAAACAATCTCTTAACTCTGAGCATGAAGATCAAGGAGCCTTAGTGATGCAAATGGTTAAGCACACCCCTGCTAAAAGTTAGTGGTTTGCGCCTACCCAGGTTTGGCAGGAAAAAGACCTGGTGATCTGTTTCCATAAATATCACAGACAAATAGCACAGTCCACAAAGACAGGGGTCTACATCCTACTTTGGGGAATAGGAGAAAGATGAGGCTTTCTACTCCCGTAAAGATTTACACCCTCGGAAACCCTGTACAGGGTCGCTATGGGTCGGACCCGACTCGATGGCACTTAACAACAACAACAACAACCAGACCTTAAAAGCTCATGAGCAGCCATGTAAGGTTGCAACTATTGGTCTCTCATTGGCGGAAGAAAGAAGAGTGATGAGAACTGAAGATGCTTGGAATCTATTAGTCCAATGAACTAATAATGGATTACCATTACCAACTGCTCTGAAAGGGAGCACATTAGAGGGTCCCAGATAGAGTGGGAGACAATGTGGAACAAAACTCAAAATTATAAAAATGACCAAGCTTACTGGTCAGAGATTAGAGGAAACTGAGATGATGGCACTTGGCCACCTTTCAGGTCTGGAAGGGAACATATCCTTGTGGCCCAATTTTCAACCAACTGGTGGACAGATATATTGGGGAGGGGGGCATGGACAACATTGTGAGGTATGCTCACAATGAAATGGTCAACCATTCAAGATCAAGCAGGCAATATTTACATGGGGACAAGGTTCAGAGGGGAAGGAGGTTGTTATTAAATGCTGTTGAGTCAGTTCCGACTCACAGTGACCCTGTACAGAGTTTATGAGGAACAGCTGGTGGGTTTGAATCGCGGACCCTATGGCTCACAGTCCAGTGCTTATCCTACAGTGCCACACTAGGAGTCCTGGGAAGGAGGGTGGAATGGAAATAGGAACTACATGGAGACAGTGGGATTATTGCTATATGGAGGAGAATGTAATCACTGAGATGAAAAAAAGTGTATAATCTGTGGCTGTAAAACTAATGATCTGCTCTGTAAACCTTCACTCCATTCACAATAAAAAGTTAAAAAAACCCCGATTACAGCTAAGAAAACCGTAACGAGTTCTACTGGGTCACTTGGGGTCATTATGAGTTGAAAAGGTACCCAAGAACAACAGCATGAGAATCGTAAGTGAAGAGAAAGAAAGAGCCCTACTCCCTTGTTTTAGAGGAAGAATGTTTACTCATAAAGTTATCAACATAACTCAAAATCATCTTTATGGACCTTGGAACAGAAGTAATGAGTAATGTTCAGTTTTCTTGTTAAGTGCCACTGAGTCAGTTCCAACTCATAGTGATACTGTATAGATTTCCATTGGTGGCTGGTGGGTTTGAACCTCTGGCCTTGTGGCTGGCAGTCCAGTGCTTATCCTACAGCACCATATCAGTAACCGTAACCATGTATAAAAGCCACTTCTTAAAAAAAAAAAAAAAAAAAGCCACTTCTTTCTAAAGAACAAATATAAAACCAAAATCTCTGAGTGCCACCTTGTGGCAAGTCTGCCTACTACCACACCAAGTACGGGCTGCCTTCCACCCTCTGTCTGTATCTTCGCCACCTCTGCACTCCATGAGGAGTCCTGGCATGGTGCTGTGAGATAAAGCACTGGACTGTAAGGTTGGTTTGAACCACAAGGTCGGCAGTTTAAACTCATCAGCAATACCATGGAAACCCTATAGAAGGTGGCTGAGTTGGAACCAAATCAATGGCACACAGCCACTAAGGCATATATCCCACCATAACCCACTACAGCGAACATGTTTCCCAAAGTGGCTGGTATGACTCGTTCTCAACAATTTTTACCTTAGAGCCCAGAAAGCCTTTTTGAGGTCAGAGAAGAGGGTGCAGGATGAGCACAAGTGTCTGTGGGTTACTGCTGGGCCACTTGGTGCACTGTCCCCGTGGTACAGCCAGTACACACATACCTGTCCTGAGGCAGGAATGGGGATAAATACCTCCACCCCCAAGAATACTGGCCAACTTTACAAAGTTATGCAGAAAAAAAGTTTTATGTTTACAGTCAGTGAGCCTTGTGCCTAAAAGTTTTATTTATCAATGTTAAAGTAACCATCACCAGCTAGGGCACAATTCCAAAATAGAGCTCTTGTTGGATTCTGGTCATTAAATTCTTTTTTTTTTTGACATATCTCCTTTCTTTTCTTTTCTTTTTTAATAAATGTTTTATTGTGAATTGTATGATAGTCTACATAGGAGAACATTAGTTTTACATTCATTCTATCATCTATTGTTTCATTGGCATAGTTACCATCCCATCCATGCATCCTCAACCAACCAAAGGGTGTACCCTGTAAGCCTGCACCCCCCTCCACAGACCTCAGCCCCTTTCCATCTCTTGATCCCAAGTCCCCAGCCACACTATCTCTTGATGTCGTCTTCTCTGCCTCCATCTCAGGCCTCACTGCTTCTCTGGGTAGGATCCTAAATTCTTTTTTAATGTTTGTTACCTTCTTGTAAATAAGAAAGCATTTCTAATACTTTAAAAAAAGTTAATAATTACTAAAAAGATTATTTCATACCTAACATTTAAAAATATGACACACCACCACTTTGAACATCTAAAAATGTTAATTAGCATCAAACGGTTTAGGATATTGGCATCTCAGGCTTCAGAAAGCAACAGAGAAGTCCTCTCATTGTAACCTGACCTAACGACTCTGGGGGTGAGTTACGTGTTAAAAGAAGTCAGTATCACAAATCTTACGGAAACAGAACACCGAAGGTACCTGATACTGATTCAGAAACCAAGATAACCTGCTTCTCAAAAGGGGATTAAGCTAAAAACTCTGTAGTCTGGACAGGAGAGCTGAAACAAGTTGCCAGTGAAAAGCATAAAAGGAAAAAAATCAAAGTTCTGCTGGAAAATGGTGTCTCTGCTGTACCCAGGTTAAAAACTTAATTCCGGAAAAGGATTCCCTGCTATTGCTTTGGTCCTGGACATGTAAAGGAGAACAAACTTAAGGGACTCACAGGGAGTGGGCCCCAATGAGGGGAGTTGTGGGAGAGCCAACAACCAAAGAAAGTATGAGGCTTAACTTCTCTAACAACTAGAAGAAAAACGTCTCCCTCCTAATCTCATGGGCTGATCATTTATACTTGACAGCCCCCAGAAGAGATAAACCAACATGGTTAGACAGGGAAGAAATGTATTCCAAACTTGAGGGTCTTGACAAGTCGCCTCAGAGAGAATCTTTCATTTTCCCTCTGCTCAGCAAATGCAAATCAGGGAGAGTAAACATAAAGGCCTTTCTGGTCCACAAAAATAAGAGGGAGGGAACAGAAAACTGACCCTTCCTAATTAAAATTCAAAACCATAAGTTTCACTTAAATGAAGCCTTGGTTCATCATGAAGCAGCCTGGGGTTATCAGGAATTAGCTCCAAGTTCTATCACTGAGGCTTTCACAATTAATGGCATATTAAAATGGAAAACTTTTCAGCCTTGGGCCCAGCTGCCCACCTGTCCTAACCTGGAAGGGAAGGAGCTATCAAGACAGCTTGATGGACAGGTCCTCCCCGTATTTCCGGAGCAGCTTCTGATGGTTGTGATCCACTGACCACTGCTGGGGCAGGTACTTGGGCTGCATGGTATTCAGAAAGTGCTGACGCCATCGGCTCTCCAGCTGCATGAGGGAGTGCAGCCCACCCTGAGAGTGGCACTGTACCACCTTCAGCCCATGCGGAACGTAGCTTTCATTGGAAATCCTGTGAAGACACAAAGCACAAAGGGTCTGAGGGAAACAAATACAGGATGGTCTTGCAGACAACTCCAAATGCTGTGGGTCAAGGGGTTTCCACAGGCACGTGGGAGGTTGTTAGACCCCTAAAATGTTGGTGACTTTAACATTTTCAAAACATCCTCTTTCCCTTATCTGTTGTTTAGGGGGGATAAAAAAGGATATCTTACACACAATCCAGCAGAAGGCAGGTGGGGATCTGAGCTTTACTTCTGGGAGGGGTCCTACTATCTGATCTACTATGGGTGAGCCTCAGGGTTGTCTGGAATGGGTAACTCAGTTACCAGCTCACCATCAACACAATGTTATCATTCTGAACCATGTTGTTGTTGATAGGTGCCTTTGAGTTGGTTCCAACTCATAACAGCCCTATGTATAACAGACTGAAACACTGCCTCATAATTGTTCCTATGTTTGAACCTATTGTTGAAGCCACTGTGTCAATCCAGCGCACTGAGGGTCTTCTTCTTTGTACTGACCACCTATATTACCAAGCCTGATTTCCTTCTCCAGGGACTGATCCCTTCTGATAACATGCCTGAAGTAAGTGACACAAACCCTCACTATCCTCTCTTCTAAGGAACATTTTGGTTGTATTACAGTATATTTGTTCATTCTTCCAACAGTCCATGGTATAATCAATATTCTGTGCAAACACCACAATTCAAAGGCATCCATTCTTCCTTGGTCTCTCTTATTCAATGTCCAGCTTTTGCATGCATATGAGGAGATTGAAAATACCATGGCTTGGGTCAGGCTATGCTTTTTAACACTTTAAAAAGAGATCTTTTGGCGGGAGACAGGGAGGAATGCAATGGTTGGAGTGAATAGAGGTACTGTTGGTGCATGGAGGGGTTTGCAACCATATAATGAAGAAAAGTATATCATTTGTTAAATATAAAACTGATGATCTGCTCTGTAAACTTTTACTCAATTCATAATAAATTTTTTAAAAAACAAAGCTTGTTAACAGATGGACAAAGTATATCGTAAAGCAAGGAGATTAAGTAGAAAAATTATGTATTTGTCATTTCTAAAAGTTGATTAAAATAAATTCTACAGCCAAAATAATAAAAAGAGATCTTTTGCAACAGATTTCCCCAATGCAGTGTCTTTTGATTTCTAGATTGCTGCTTCCAGGGGCATTGATTGTGCATCCAAGTAAAATAAAATCCTTAACAACGTCAATCTTTTCTCTGTTTATCATGTTTGTTACTTACTGGTCGAGCTGTGAGGAATTTTGCTTTCTCTAAATTCAGTAACCCATACTGAAAGTTGTAGTCTTTGATCTTTATCAGTAAGCACTTCACATCCTCTTCATTTACAGCAAGCAAGGGTGTGTCATCCCATATCACAGGTTGTTAATGAGTCCTCCTCCAATTCTGATGCCTCATTCTTTTTCATTTAGTTCAGCTTCTTGGATTGTTTGCTTAGAATACATATTGAATACATATGGTGAAAGAATACAACCCTGACACATACCTTTCCTGATTTTAAACCATTCAGTATCCCCTTGTTTTGTTCAAACAGCTGCCTCTTTGTCTACGTACAGGTTCTACATGAGCACATATAAGTATTCTGGAATTCCCATTCTTCACTGCTATCTATAAGGTGTTTGGATCTACACAAACACCTTTGCATAGTCAGTAAAACACAAGTAATCAACTTTCTGGTATTCTCTGCTTTCAGCCAAGATCCATTTGACATCAACAATGATATCGTTCATTTCAAGTCCTCTTCTGAATTGCCTTGAATTTCTGGCAGCTACCTGCTGATGTACTGCTGCAACCATTTTTTTTATTATCTTTAGCAAAATTTTACTGTGTGTGATATTAATTATATTGTTCAATAATTTCTGTATTCTGTTGGATCACCTTTCTTTGGAATAGGCACACATATGGATCACTTCCAGTTGGTTGGCCAGGTAGCTGTCTTCCAAATTACTTAACATAGACAAGTGAGTGCTTCCAGTGTTGCATTATTTATTGACATTTCTCATTTAGTATTCCATGAATTCATGGAATCTTGTTTTTCATCAATACCTTCAGTGTAACATGGATTTTTTCATCAATGCCTTCAGTGTAACATGGATTTCTTCCTTCAATACTATTGGTCCTTGATTACATGGTACCTCCTCAGACAGTTGAACAGTGACCAATTCTTTAGTAACTCTGTGTATGTCTTCCATTTTCTTTTGCTAATTCCTGCATTGTTCAATATTTTGCCTGTGGTGGTGGTGGTTGTGTGCCTTCGAGTCAGTTTTGGCTCATAGTGATCAGGTTTCTGAGATGGTAAATCTTTATGGGAGCACAGAATCCTTCATTATTTCAACTTGAGACTTGCATTTTTTCAATTCTTTCAGTGTGAGAAATGCCAAATGTGTTCTCCTTTTTGTTTTTCTAACTCCAGATCTTTGTACATTTTATAATATTTGCTTTTTCTTCACAAGTCATCCTTTGAAATCTTTTGTTGAGCTCTTTTATTTCATCATTTCTTCCAACTATGCAACATACAAGACCAAGTTTTAGAGTCTTCTGACATCCATTTATGTCCTTTCTTTCTCATCTGTCTTTATAATGACATTTTGGTTTGATGTCATCCCACAACTTGTCTGGTATTCAGATATTAGTGTTCGATACATCAAATATATTCTTGAGATGGTGTCTAAATTCAGGTGAGATACAGTCAAAGTCATACTTTGGCTCTCATGAACTTGCTTTACTTTCTTCAACTTCAACTTGAATTTTCATATGAACAAGTGATGGGCTGTTCCACAGTCAGCCCCTGGTGCTGTTCTGACTGATGGTATTCTGAACCATAATCAGTATTTATACAAGGCTGTTAAGTCAGCCTACATGTTCCCAGTTTTCCATAACATGGTGTAATACCTGAATGTAAACTGTAAGGTGGTACATTTCTTTAGCACCTTCTTCCTCATACAAAGAATGTCAAACTACATCCATGTTTCAGTATAACTGCTACTGTAGTTGCTCAGTTGTGCACCTGATGCTGTGTGAAAAGATGAAGCCCTGCCTCCTTCCCAACTAATCAGAGGCCTCAAAGAAGCACCCTGCCCAAAAACTGTATTCCTCATGGACACCCAGGCCTCACCCTGATCCCTTCCTCCAGACCTACTAGTCTAGCAATGCTACACTCGGAAGACATGTTGTTTAGATCACAAGTTTCCCACTAGCCTGCCTATCTTTCCTCAAAAAATATTCTCAGTTTTAAACATCCAAGTCTAGCATTCGTCTCTCTAAATCAGCAAGATGAATTGTTATTTTAAAAGTCTGTGGCTGAAATAGAAGTTGGGTTGTTTTAGGAATACCTATGGAAACTGGTTAATGGAACCAATCTTACTAAATTGTTGAATCACCTTGTGAAGTTAATTAACTTTAACCTCAGGATTAAATATACAACTTGGAAATATCATATATTCAAATAACAAAAATAGTTATATGAATAAAATTCAGTAAATATTTCCAAAACCATGAAACATTTAAAAAATGCAAATATAGAATTAGCAGCTATAGCAAGAGTGTAAATTCTACTTCAGAGAGCTTTTTTTTTCCCAATGGTTTATTGTGAATTATATGATAGTTTACATGGGAGAACATTAGTTTTACATTCATTCTATCATATATCGTTTCATTGCTATGGTTACAATCCCCTCCATGCACTTCAGAGATTTTTTACAAGAAATAATTAAGATAATTTATATAAAGGTTATTAGCTTAGTGTGTGACAAAAATACAGTATAGTTATATATATTTGCTTATAATTAAAGGCCTTTTCAAAATTGCTTAATTGATTTAAAAAAGCAAACAATGTAGGCAACAAGCATCTTCATCAGCATTTTTTTTTTAATGTTTTATTGTGAATTATGTGATAGTTTACATGGGAGAACATTAGTTTTACATTCATCCTATCGTATATCGTTTCATTGC